TTTAGGAGTCATGTCATGATATTCATGATATTAAAAAACTTTTGTTCATGACTGTAGTTCAGTCTCTTAGCAGTTATTTGAGAAGTTGGAACAACATTTTTGTTTTCTCCAAGACATATTTGTATTTTCTTCTGGCTAAACAGCCATCATGTTTGCTATCTAGTAAAACAACAAAAAAATGGATGGTTCATACATGAAAAAAAAACCCAAAACAAAATAAATATAATATCTAGTCTTATATCATTGAACTGATGTTGGTATTTGTTAAAATGTTCTTGTTATTATTTTTTTTTCTTTCCAGTTTTTATATTGTAATTTTCAACATTTTCAATGTCAGTGGTTTATACTGAAAACAGACATCACTCATGGATGTTTGAGGAATGCAAAGCGAAATCTAATGTCTGTGAAGGAAAATTACTTTCCTTATTTGGAGTTAATCTTTTAGAGAAGATATTGAACCCTGATTGACCTCCTCAGGTAGTGCGTTCTGTAACTTCTATAGATTCTTAACCTCACGTAAACCTCATTGTAGGAAGACAGGCAGGACAGCCTGCACCTTTCAAGGCCAGATGATACCCAGGCGCCAAGTTATCTTTGTTTCCCTTTCTCCCATAAAGCTGGATGTGACTCTCACTGAAGGAATATATAAGACTAAGGATGTGAGAGTAATCTTTAGAATTGATGCTGGCATTGCATCCGTGAACTGCTGCTGTGGTAGTGTCACTTCTCCTGATATCAGTAAACCTGATTTCAACCAAAGTCATCTGAGTCTTCGGTGTGTTTCTCTGTGTCGGGCTCCTCTTCCTACATCAACCTCTTCCAGAACGTCCACAATAACGTCCTGCTCCCTCCTTGGCCCCTATGTTGGAGGACAGTGAGGAGGATGTGGACATCAGCAAAAGAATTATGCACAACAACAAAGTAACAAATCAAAATGCATATTTCTAATTGATGTTCTAAACATATTTTACTACAAGAAACTATACAACAATCAACTATGATGACAATATTTAGATCACAAATGAGTCCACATCACCATTTGGCATGTCAAAATCACAAAAAAAAAAAGAAAAAGAAATCCTTGTCATACTGGCAACAAACCAAATTCTGCTGAAGTCAGCAGCTTCAAAAGCTGGTGAAAGGTTGAGCAAAGATTGTGTTTTAGTAAGAAATATGGTTACATCCATACATATGTCAACAATTTCCCTGAGGCTTGCACCAAAGGGATCAATAAAGTTCTATTCTATTCTATTCTATTCTATATATACATACATACAGACTTGCAGAACCTTTCTGAGGCCTCAACAGGAACCTCTTTTAAAAATGTTACACTTTCTTCCATTTTCAAGGGCCACTTATTTATTTATTAAAGTTCTTTTTTTGGCCTTTGTGCCTTTATTTGATAGAGCAGTGAGAGAGGGGGACAGTAAAGTGGGGGAGAAGAATGGGAGGACGTGTGGGAAAGGGCCATGAGCGGGATTCAAATTCATGACCTCCACATCGGGACTGTAGCCCTGTACATGGGACGCCAGCTCAACCAGGTGAGATATAGCGGCGCCTCACAAGGGCCACTTATTAAAAATGTGTATTTGGTAGAGACTATTTTGTCTGTGGACCTCAGTGATGAAGGAAGAGGAGTTCAACATCCAGTGATTAGCACTGCAGCCTCACTGTGTTTGCCATCAAGATGAGCGATACCTTAAAGATTGCTAGAGGCAGCAAACTGGGAAGATGCCACACCGTGGAGGATATCCTTGGAGAGGACAGTTTTGGCGTTGTAGCGAAATGCCGAAACATGCGCACCAACAGGATCGAAGCATTTAAGGTCAACAGGAGTGAACCTGACTATATGCTTCAGGCCTTTGAGGAAATTTCCCTCCTGAAGCAACTGCAGTGTCTCAATGCAGGAACTTGCAACATCGTGAAGAGGAATGGATATTTCTTTCATGAAGAAANAATTATGCACAACAACAAAGTAAAAAATCAAAATGCATATTTCTAATTGATGTTCAAAACATATTTTTCTGCAAGAAACTATACAACAATCAACTATGATGACAATATTTAGATCACAAATGAGCCCACATCACCATTTGGCATGTCAAAATCATAAAAAAAAAAAAAAAAAATCTTGTCATACTTGCAACAAACCAAATTCTGCTGAAGTTAGCAGCTTCAAAAGCTGGTGAAAGGTTGAACAAAGATTATGTTTTAGTAGGAAATATGGATACATCCATAAATATATACATACACACATAGAGACTTGCAGAACCTTTCTGAGGTCCCAACAGGAACCTCTTTTAAAAATGTTGCACTTTTTTCCATTTTCAAGGGCCACTTATGAAAAATGTGTATTAGGTAGAAACTATTTTGTCTTGTCTTCCCCAAAGTGGCTGTGGGAGTTTCATTTCTGGAGATTTTGAGCCACTAAAATGGCTTCTCAGGTAGGATGTTGTTCTCGAGGAAAAGTATAAAAAAAGGCTTTAAATTAAGCCAAAATATTTTACAGAACTTTGTTTTTGTTCCCAAACAAATAAATACAGACTGATCCAGCAGAGATCCAGATGAGGGGTGGTCTGATGTAGACGATCTGAGCCAGGGATGAACAATCAGCTGCTCAAAGGCGACACAATCCTCAAGGAGGATTCTCAGTTTGGAAAGTAAAGGACAGCTGAGTCACAAAAGTGCTCTGGCTTTTCACCCGCTTCAGTCTGTTTTATCTCATGGCTTCACTGAAAACAAAAGATTTGCTCACTTGCCTGGAAGCGGCTTGAAAAATGAAGCAACATTTCATTTTACAAACTTGTTCTAACGTGTAATCCACAGATTTCACTCTGAACAACTTAGAGTGGCAGTATTACTTTAACAGAAAGTAGTCCCAGGGAGAACTGTTGACAGTGATGTCCTTGGATTACATCGTAGTGTATCACAGTATAAAATAGCATGTTTTCTAAATGAATTGGACCTTCCGTTCAGAATCAAGCATTAGTAACAAAAAGTGTCCTGTCTATTGCAGTAACTACATCTAGCTGATATTCACAACTTTGCTCAGAACAGACAAACTTGTAATTATTGAAAATAAATTTTAAAAAAATGACATGTTAGTAAGATGTGATGCCTTGTTTGTGTCTTACTGATTGATGGACAGACCAGAGGTGATTTCAATCCCCTCGTCGAGATAGGTTTTTGTTTCCAAAGGATGGGGATGATCCAGCAGGTAGCACAGCAGCTGCCACGATGGTGTGGGACTGCCTGGTGCTCTCTGAAGGACTGTTGAGAAGGTGTCTGGAACACACAAAGATGGAGGGAGACAGTCAGAGACAATCGGGGGTTGTTTAAACATCTCATTTTCTTTCTCAACAATTGGTAACAGAGTTAGTGCAGGAGCAGAGGCACATCATACCACTGTAGGTATCGTAGGATCCTCCCTCACAAGGCAGCTGCAGGTAAAATCAATCATCTGGACCACTGGACATCATCCCCAGTGTCAATGAAGACGTCTCGTAACTGGATGCCCAAGTGAGATACTCCGTTTGAATGAGGTTCCACAGCAGCATCAACCATCTGCCTCGGTATGATCTGTGATAGAAGGAGAGTCAAACAGTTGAGAGAGTACAGTGCAGCGGAAATTTAACAAACTCACTTTCAACAGATCTGATTTTGAACAGTTTCATTTTTGCAGAAATTGTTGCCAATAACATGCAAAAATGAGGAGCGTGTCCCCATAATCATCTACTGCGGATGTTAACCCTCGTGCAACCACAAGGACGTTTTTGTCCTTTTCATTTTAGATTATTTTGGCTGTGTTAATGTATTTGGCATCAAAATGATAAAGAGGTGTATTTTGGGAGAAATTGGGATTTGGGGGTCTGCAAGGTGGCTCGGTGGATAGCACTGTTGCCTCGCAGCTAGAAGGTTAGAAGGCTAAAGAGGACGGAAAACTAAGCTAAACTATTTTACCAGACAACAGGGAAAATGCATTCGACAGTTTAAAATGCCACCTGAACAGGCCTGATACTGACTTTCTAAATATCCCTGATTAATTTAAGGTGGTGGTGGCATATTAAGGTAAGTCAGCTATAGCTATTTAGTGATTACAAACAACGCTGCTATCGTCCAAGATAAGCTAGCAAGTTAGCATTGCTCTGACTACAGGAACTATGATACATTAACCAAACAGGCTTCTCACCAGAAATGTTTGACAGCGTAGCGGGGGTTGTCTTAGTTACTCTCCCTGGCTAACTGACGTGTAGTCAGGCAATAATTAACCACAATCGCCGATGCGGTTTCTCCACCGCGGTCTGCTATTTGTTAGCGAAGACTAACGTTAGCTAACGTCTTCGCGCCAAAAGTTAGCAGCTAAGAAGCTAACGCAGCGTCGTAGCTGCTAACGGTAAAGAAACTGCATCGGCGCTCGTTGATAAATATTTCCCTGAATACATGTCAGTTAGCAGAGTACAATCAACGTGGAGAAATTATCATTTGCCCGCTACATACCCTCGAAAACAACGTATCGGCCCAATTCGCAGTATATTTTTTCAGGCGGCAGCAGCATAACGGCTGTTTCTCTGTTATAATCTTGGGCCACAACCCTGCTTAATCTAATTAATTCCATCACATTGATGCTACTGTACCTGTGTGTTTTTCCTGTTTTCTTCCTCTTTTTCCTTTCCCTGAGCGCCAGACTATTTTACTCTCTTCATAATGTATACACCGATCTGAAATCTGCAGTCAAACGCCGCCTCACGCCTGTGCACTCCGGCCACATCCCCTCCTCCGCTTGTGGCGCCCCCCGGTCATTTAGATGAGCAACGTCACGATCCTCAGTGTGACGTTAACTGATTGTGGGCGGGGCCTGTCGGAGGACACTGATCAGAGGATATCCTTTCTTACATCATATGACGTCACTGAACCGAGGATATATATATGTATAGAGCTGTCTTCCAGAAATTTTCACATTGTTTTGCAAATTGATGAGTTTACGGAGACGTGCCAGCAAGATGAACAATACCTTGGACATTATTACAGGTAGCAAACTGGGAAAACGCCACATAGTCGAGGATATCCTTGGAGAGGGCGGCTTTGGCGTTGTGGCAAAATGCCAAAACATGTGCACCGGTAGGACTGAGGCAGTTAAGGTCAACAGGTGTGAACCTGACGATATGTATCAGGCCTTTGTGGAAATTTCCCTCCTGAAGCGACTGCGGTGTCTCAATGCAGACACTTGCAACATCGTGGAGTGGAATGGGTATTTCTTTCACGAAGAAAACATCTGTATGACCTTTGAAGTACTGGATGTAAGTTTGGACACGTACCTGACGCAGAGAGGAAACCCAGGTCTTCCGGTCACAGAGATCCGGCCAGTGTTACACCAGGTGGCCACAGCTCTGTCGCACCTGCACTCTATCGGTGTGGTGCACTTGGACCTGAAACCTGAGAACATCATGGTTGTTGATCGCACTCAGCAGCCAGTCAGGGTCAAAATTATTGACTTTGGTCTGTCAGGTCTGCTGTCAGAGATCAAACAGGGTCTGCGTCAAGGGTCCACCTGGTACATGGCACCAGAGATGATCCTTGCTGCCCCATTAAATGAGACCCTTGACATGTGGTCTCTTGGGGTCATAGCGGCGGAGTTGGCCATGGGGTGCCCTCTTTACCCGGGAAACATAGACTACGATGTCCTCAGTTACATCGTAGAAACCCAGGGTCAGCCACCAGACGACGTTCTGGACAGAGGGACGTGGACTCCTCTATTCTTCCATCGCCAAAGAAAGAAGCGTCCGCTCTGGAGAATTAAGTCTCCAGAGGAGTTCCACCATGACAGTGGATGTCATCCAGAGGGCAGGAGGAACAGCAGACTCAGCTGTCTGGATGATATAGGACACAGAATGGCGAGACAAGCTGGACACCACAGTGATCAGCAGACACTGCTCAGCTTAATCAAGAGCATGTTGCATCTCGATGCTGGTCAGAGAGTGAAGGCGAGGGAGGCTTTACAGCATCCCTTCTTTGCTCCTGGTGTCCAGCGTAAAGAGGATGCCCAAACTGTGGACCTCAGTGAAGTAAGAGTCCAACATCCAGGTCCCTCCCTGTCTCCTATATTGGAGGAAGACAGTGAGGAGGATGCCCAGCCAGAGGACAGTGGCAGGGAAGGAGTCCCCCAACACCATGTCCAACCTCCAGCTCTGTCAGTGTCGACAACATTGAGGGAGAAGCGCGGAGGGAGCATCGGTGCCAAAAAAAGCCAGCAAATCCGGCTTCCAGCTCCAGCTTTGTCCACTGTACTGGAAGAAGATACTGAAGAGGACAACCGACGAGGGGACAGCGGCACTGTAACAGTGGACATAGAAAATCTAGTCCGATGTTCAACATTGTCGTCCACCTCTTCAGACGAGAGACCTCCAGAAGACTTCAAACCTGAGGAAGATGACAGGCAGGATGGCTGGATGAGGCGCACCATTAACACAATCAGGGATGCCTTCAGGCGCCTCCTCTCTTAGTCCATCAGCTGCCGTTATCTCCTGCTTCGTGGGCAGCACTGTGGTGGCTCAGTGATTAGCACTGCAGCCTCAATGTTTGTGTGGGTTTACTTCGGGTGCTCCGGTTTCCTCCCACAACATAAAACCAACTGTAGGCCAATTGGAAACTGTAAATTATCTCCCAGCAACTAAGAATTCTAAAAGAATATGATGCAATATAATATAATATAATGGAATAGGATAGGATAGGATAGGATAGAATACAATGCAAAGAACAGAATAGAATAGCATAGAATACAGTATAATTTTATATAAAACATAACATTTGACAGTCATTAAAAAACAAACAAACAAAACCCTTATTTGTGTCCATTTCTCTAAATACAGAGAATATATATAGAGGTATATTGTTCCCCCAGCAGGTTTTGTCATATTACCACAAGACTTATAATGAATTCATGAAAGAACCAAAATGTGTGACTGTTTTTTGACAAAGACGAGTTTAAATGGTTCCATCGTAGAGAATGCAGTTTTAAGAGTCATGTCATGATAGTCATGATATTAACAAGTGCATGTAAACTTTTGTTCATGACTGTAGTTCAGTCTCTTAGCAGTTATTTGAGAAGTTGAAATAAAATGAAATGAAATAAAATGAAAAATACTTTATTTATCCCAGAAGAGAAATTCAATTGGAATTGAAAAAAAAAAAAATCAGCTCATCATCAAGCTCTGCAGAAGCCTGATAGCGATCCTGATCATTTGAATCAGGTGTGTTGGAAGAGGGAAACATCTAAAACATGCAGGACTGTGGCCCTCCAGGACCAGGATTGGACACCCCTGCTCTAGACCAATCAGAGCGCGCCTGACTGTGGACTACCAATCAGATGGCACAATGTGAATGTCAAAACAAAGTGGTTTAAATCGAGGCTCCAAGTGAGCTTTTCGTTAATATATTCGTCTCAGTCCTTTCAGGGTTCCATTTCATGATTCGAGACTTTACCTGCCAACTTGTTCGAGGTACAATCTGTGGCCAGCCAGCACAGGGACATAAAAAAAAATACCAAAATAAACAAATAATGATATTTAGAAATCATATGTGTTGTTTCCTGCCTGAGATACTTTGACAACACCATGTTTGTTCCACCAAAACATGGAATAAAACCTTTGTGACGAGCATCTGCAATGTGATTAAAGAGGTTCTTCAGAAATCTGCTCCATTGAAGAGCACTTGATGGCACCAGTCACTCTGAACTACCTGCAGATTTAACTGTGAAATGGATAAAACTGGTAAATTAAAATGAAAGACCAACACATCCTCTTAAAATGTTTATTGAGTTAGATGTGATGTGTCTTTTGGTTTGGAGCACATGGTGCCATCTTGCTCGTCACCTGCAAATATAAGGAGCAGGTGTTTGAGGGAAGAAGGTTGAAATTGTCAAAGCAAACTCTTTATATTATTTTAGTGGTAAACTGGTAACATGAACTTACCTCTGCCTGTCCTCTTCCTCCCAGGGTGTCCATGCAAAAGACTTCCCTGGAGGCTCGGACACATTTTATTAGTTCCAGGAGGGAGGTACCATGTGGGAAGCAGGTAGAGGGGGGTTTTGTTGCAATTTATATAGACAATTAAATATTTAGGGGTGGGGTATCTATTCAAGAGGGTTTAGTTTGGTCAGAGATGGCGAAAGTACTCGCATTCTTTACTTAAGTAGAAGTAGAGATACTTGTGACGTTTGTTGTTGCATCTTTTACGTCACGTCGTCATCCGCAGAGGTTTTGAAACAAGTAACGAGCCAGTTTAGAGAATGTAAGGAGTAGAAAGTACAGATGTTTGTGTTCAAATGTAGGGAGGAAAAGTAAAAAGTCATCAGAAAAATTAATACTTAAGGAAAGTACAGATACCTGCAAAATCTACTTAAGTAAGTACTTCCCAACTCTGAGTTTGGTTTGTGCTTATTTGGAGTGGTGAGAGGTTTTATGTAGATATTTATTTATGTGGGTGTGTCCCCTGCTTTCTTCATTGGATGCCTCCGCCGCCTCGGCAAGTTGGCAATGTGAAATAAAAATGAAGCAAATGCAACCATCGTTTATTTGATATTTAAGCTATTTTAAAATGATAATGTGCACCAGTTTCTCACATAATAACGGACAGACATTACCGCTCTACAGAGACACACAGAAGCAGTTTAATGGTATTTTCAAGCAAAAAGCAAAACATAAAGGTGCATCTTTACCAATAATCAGTCAGAATCGTCTTAGGCGGGGTTAAGCCCAGAACACAGCAACAGTGTTCCTGCTAAAAGGTGACACTGTGGAAGACGGAGGAGAAAATATAGATTTATGCCTTAAATATATTGGTGTTTGCAAGAGAACTGTGACTTGGGAGAGTATTTGTTTTTTTTTAGCAAAGCATACAGCCAAAACTACACAGAAGTGGATTAAAGACAATAAATGAATATTCAGCAGCGGCCAAATCAGAACTCGATGTAATTATTATTTTGGGGCTGGATGAAAATCTGTTTTCCCTTCGACATGAAAGAATCTTTTTTTTGTAAATTCTTATTTCTTGATTCAATGCCGACAATCAATAAAAAGAGAAAACTTCCAAGGGGGTGAATACTTTTTATAAACACTCTCCAACACAAACACCACGATACTAAAATCCGCCTCATGTCTGAAGAGCCCGTAAAGCAGGTCGAGGTCCGATGCCTTGCTCAAGGGTGTGAAAGTGGAGCAGATGTTTCCAGACTGTGGCTCAAGTGTTGGCAGTTTTGGAACTCTTTCTCATTTATATTCTGTTACTAAAAACAGAGATGTCTCGAGCTGATTCATAAATCTTCATCATGGAGGTCCTCCGGAGAATTAGCTGTCTGGAAGTGACGTCTAAATATAAAACGCTCACCTTCTCTGGTGTGAAGAGAAGCTACCACATTATTCTGCTTTTACAAGACTGCACAGGGCTTCCAAATCCTTTCAATATCCCTCCGACTCAACACAGCTCCACCGTTTTACTGCAGAACTTCCAAACTGGCCTGCAGAGGGCTGGTTGGACGTCCCACTGCAGACTGCAGCTCCAACAGAAGGAAAGACTAAGAAGAAAATGACAAATACAGATTGTTTTTGGTTCTTTCATGTAGAATCTGAGAGCTGGAGTGTATAAACTGTGTCAATGTAAAGGTTTGGCCTCAGAAGTGCAGGTGTAATATCTAATGAGACCACAAGAGGGAAGCATTCAGCAACTTAAGAGTCCACAACTGACTGCAGGAAGGTATGGAGTCATGAGAGCGCCAAATTACAAAAATAAATCAGTAAAAGAATAACAAAATAAAAGTGGAAATAAAAAGAAGAATAAATATAATAATAATGTATTTATTTATTATATTTGTATTTTTAAAATGTATTTTTTTTTTTAATCATTTTCATTTTTTAAATGTATTTATTTTTAATTATTTTTTTCTTTTTCTTTTTTTGTTGCTTTTTTTGCTTTAAAGCGACGTTTAATTTAAATGAACATTTAAAAGCAAAAATGGGAATGTTGTTGTGCGCCTGCTACAATTTTATTTTTTTAGATTCTTTTATTGATTTATTTTTGTAATTTGGCACTCTCACTACTGTACAGCAAAAGGCTCATTAAATCTAATAGGTTCATTAAAACAAGTATCTCTTTTACCGTTATTCATCTGGAATCGAGTTTTTAGGTCATGATCCCATCTCAACAGCCAAAAGGAGGCCGATACAGAGTGTCGCACTTTAAGAAAATACAGAAATGAGTTTAAAATTCAAGTTATTCTATTAAAACCAGGATCACTATACGTTCTGATTTTAAGTTTGAGGTAATTAATGTCTGTAAAGAGGCTGGTTTCATGGTAGATACTATGTTTCCTGTTGACAAATGCACCAAGAACACCTGAGTTTATTTACTGCAAAGTTCCAGATTAAATTAATTTATTTCCACTTTAAAGTCAGCTAACCTTGTCGGAGCTCCAGCAGGTTAAATCAGCTTTCCCACCACATGGTTGCAAACCTAGACAACAAACAGAGAAAGAATTATTTGTGACAAAACAGTGGATGAGACAAACATTTGCTTCTTTTGGCACAAATAGTGAATTTACAGTGGGAAAAAGTGCAGCTACACAGTTAAAATAATCACGGAAATGCACATTTTTTATGTTATCTACTGTCTTTTGACATGCGAAGCTTCAAGGGCACGTAAGAAGGCTCCATTTAAAAGCGTTTAATGTGGTGTTTGAGCATCACCTTCTTCTCCATCACCTCCACAAAGTCCTCTGGTCTCAGTCTCCTCCAATAGTTTTATCCTCCATCTGTTCTGACCTGGAACTTAACATCAAAGGGTGCAAAACTCCTGATAATTTGACAAGAATTTAACCATTTTACATCCACATTTTGGCATTTGTAAAACAGTTTCTAAGACTAAATCTGAGCAAGTTTCCTAGTGTGCACTCTTGCAAAAGTCCCACTTGCTTGTGATTCAGGGTTAGAAAGCTGAGAAAACAAGAAGAGTTAATCGAGCTAACTTTACATCATCTGAACAATTAAAAACGAGGCGAGTGCGAGTCATGGTGACATTTTACTGATAGAAGTTCCTGCTTTTCAACACTAGATGGCAGGCATCACACCTGTTCAGGTTCACATTTAATTCCTACTTCCTGGTTTGTACAACTGAGAATAAAAGCATCAACACACAACAACACATTCAAAATTAATCTTTAAAAAATAATTTTGAAAAAAGCTGTTAAAAAAAAAATACCGTAGACGACTTTAGAACGACTCTTTTTATTTTTAAAAAGAAATGTTTTAAGTCACTTGTAGCTTTTGCCTGAAACACAATCACCTCCAATTTCATGTATTTTTCTTTAATTTCCTTTTTATAAATTAGAATGGTATATTATGCATGCAATACCGCATTAGCCGCTTAGGTTTTCATCTTCCACAGAAAGAAAAAAAAAAACAACAACAAAAAAAAAAAACAGAAAAGATCAACAACAACAAAAAAAAATCCCTTAAAAGTCCAGATGAAGCTGCTCGGAAAAGGGTGGTTGGAGAAGCCACAGCATGAAGCGATGTACACAGTTTGCGGTTGCATAGTACAGTACATGAAGTTCCTCATTTTAAACCAGCATGCCGCTTTGTATTGCACATTACTGAAACTTTGTATACTGGACCTTGCTGTCGTCCCAAGAGTCCCACATGGGTCGTCGTCGTCGTCGTCGTCGTCGTCGTCTCATTTCAGCACATGTATACAGCAAATAGCATCTCTCAAAGACATTATGTACATTTATTTGTTATAAAAATAATCGCCAGCAAATATTCATCTATTACTTTTCTACTGGAATAAATGTTTTGCTTCTTTTTTTTTTTTTCTTTTTTTCTACGTTTTACCAAAGAAAATCCTCCCTAGAAGTTCTGGATTTTGTGGTCACCTTGAGATTTAATCAGTGAAAAAATAAAATCAGTCATGATTTTTTTTTTGTTTTGAGACAAAAGTTTGGCCACAAGTAAAGGCAAAAACAAAAAAGAAAAGCTTTTTTTTTTTTGAGGTCTGTGAGTGAGCGTTTTTTTTTTTAGTTCTGCTCTAATTTAGGGCGTTCACAAAGAGAGGGACGGTGGGACGCTGGTCTGGAAATCCCTTCTGATTGTCTCAAGCAGCCCAGCTCGACATTGGTTGTTTTGTTTTTTTTTGATTTCGAATGGTAAAATGGCTCCCTGTTCACTCAACCAATGGGTTTTTTTTTAATGCTATGGGGGCACAATGAGACAGAGAAGCTGCTTGTAAACAGGAGCATTATGCACGTTCTGGTATCATTTGGAGTCTCGGTGTTTCCGTCCATGAACAAACCAGTGGACAATAAAGAAATAATCCCAAAAAAAAAGGGCAAAGAAATAATCTGTGCCCTTGTAGCAGATTCACATTGTAGGAACAGTTGCTCAACTCTTTTTTTGCTTACTCTTTTGTGCTATACAAGTTTTGTTTTTTTTTAATCCAGATCTATACAAAGTGATCGACTGAGCTGATGAGAGCTGGGGAACACTGTAATGTCAGGTCAGAGGAGTGCTCAGCCTCCTTTTTCTCTAATTAGGCCTCGCAAATTAGCGCGACGTCTCAAAACTGTGTCGGGCTGCCAACTTGACGGGGACAGTCCAATATCTGGTATGTAGGTCAGAATTTCTGCCTGCCTTCTGAAGAATCAAAGGAAGACGATTTCAGGAAGTGGAGCAACTGAAGTACAGATTCAGATTTAAAGCAGAAAATATCGACTTACCGGTTCTTCTAAAATCAAACTTCTCGAGATCAAGAATTTCCCAATACAGTAGTTTCAATCTGCAGCTGCTACAGAAAGATGTTGTTAAATGTCAATAAATCGAGTTTTTTCTGGTTATGTTTTCAGTTCAAAAAGTAGCTCAACAGCTCCTGAAAATGTGCCGAATTCCTCATAGAACACGTCTGTGAATATTCTCCAGGTCATGGTTGTTCTAATCGTAGCAACTGGACTTGCTTGAGTTCCTTGAAGACGTTCCACCTCTTACCCAAGAGGCTTCATCAGCACTGACTTGCATTCACACCGAGCCACAAAAGACCCTAACGAACCCCTTTGTGGCAGGGGGACCCACATAACGAGGGGGCGGAGCAACAAACCCCCAATTGAAACTCAAGTGTTAACAGCTCCTTTAGGATATAAGCATCTGGATCTCCCAACTAGTCAGAACTGATGAAGCCTCTTGGATGAGAGGTGAAGGAACTTATCAAGTCCAGTTGATTAATCTACCAGAATCCTCATATAACATTTACCGAGGTGACTATTTAACATCCGCCAATTCTACAAAAACAAACAGAAATTCCCCCTAAAGCAGCGACTCAAACACTCTGTATAGATCTTAGACTAAAAAACAAACAATAAATCACGAATCCGCTCTTTGTAAGGCACCGACCTAACGCGGTGCTGCAGCTACTGTACATCGTTTCTGTCAGAAGGGAAGAAATGAGAAGCTCCGACATGCCAAAGAAAAGTCTTCAGACAAGCATGTTCTGGTTCAGACTGTACATCAGGCCTTCTCATTTTACTCTTTTAAAGATATAGTTAACTGGCTGTGTGTCTTTCTTAATTAGAGCTGTGACTGGAAGGACCAAACTTGACTTTGTAGAAAATAAAAAACAGTTCAAATGAGTTAAAAACAACGGGTTGTTATATGTTTGAGTTAATCAGATAATTCACTTAATTTTGGTGTTTATTTTTGTCACGTTTGGTCCTCCATACACTCATGATTTCTAACGACTTAGTCTCAGAAATTCAACGTATCCTCGCACAATCCAGCTCCAACCTGCCGCCTAAACTGAGGTTAACCTCGTTTGTCGATGTATCGTTTCGCTAACCTGCCATTTACTATATTGTTTGCTACAAAATGTGGAAAATAACACGTAACCAGGACAAATTAAAGACACACTGCCAGTAAATCAGAGAACAAACAAGTTTTCTTTGACCTGAAAACTATGGAAGCCAAGAGCAGCCAAAATGATAGAAGACTTATTATCTTTTCATCCCAAGACTACAAACTGGTTCTCATATTTACTACCGTTATTTTTTTTTTTTTGGCAATCTCACAACTCACTGATCTCATAAGATTTCTCTCCAAGATGAATAAACTATATTAAGACATCAATATACTTAATGCTCTACTTTGTCTAATTTACTTTTCCAGGCTAAAAAAAAAAGTCTGTCTTGTACGGTTTGTTATCTGGAGATAATAAAGATGATTAAGCCACGAGATAGTTGGATATCTTAACAGAATATGTACAGTAAATGATGACAACAAAAAAACATCATCAGCAACCGCAGCAGGTTCCGTACGAAGCACCATGTGTGTCGGGTAAACTCTGAGCCTTTTTTCCTCAGGGCTGTGTCAGTTGTTTCAGTGCACTTCCTACCAGAGAACAGAAATCAATGGGATGGCTCCGTTTTTATATCATGCAATTCTTTCTCAAGTATTTTTCTGTGTCGTTTGACTGAGTCACAAACCTCAGGGATCCAGAGTTATCATCGATCTGTAATTTGGGGCTTTTTTTTCTTCTTCTTCTTTCTTTCATTTTTTTTGTTTTTTTTTGAAAGTGCCCCATACTTCTACAAACATCAAGTTGATTACAGTAGGGTTCTATTTTACGTTTGGAGGGAACATGCTCTGCAGTCAGGACAACATGCCAGCTACACAGAGAATGAACATGATGCAACCGATCCTGCCAAGTCACATTTTTTTTTTCTTTTTTTTTTTTCTCGCTCTCCTCGTATTGAGTAAAAAAAAGGAACTTTGACGGCGAATGGCATGACGTCCCGGTAACCAACGGTGCGTTTTCACCTCTTTAAATTCAATGCTAACAAATGCAAAAACAACCTGCAGCTTCGGGAGCGGCTCTTTTAAGTCAAGGGGCAAAAATATCTGCTCAAGAGGTTTTCACAGCATCGGTTTTGAAGCCAGTCCACATCTCGACAACATCAAAAATGCATCTCAAGTAGTATTTTGCTATTGTATTTCACTACACTATCAGACACACTGTCACAGCTATTGCCTTCCCTAGCGTTCTAAGTGCTAGCTGTTTAGAACAGAAGCAGTATTGCCTTCCCCTACAGTGTAACTGAGATCTGATCCCAGCACCATCAAGAATCTGTTCTGCTTATGACGGTGAGGGTCTTCACCCAAATTAAATCCTAAAGCTATGCTACAGAAAAGCTGGCCTTTGCTCAAAGTGACTTTCAAATAGCAAAATAGTTTGGGAATGTGAAGCACCAGTTTTCAAAACTAGCAGCCAGATATCGTCTGCACACACCGAACCACCACCAACCGCCTGTCCGCAACTGGGTGATTTAGAAAATTGGACCTCCGTATCTACACCTCGTCAAGGGAGAATCCAGAAAGCTAAGTACAAAATATCAGTGAAGTGGATGCGGAGGTTGATCATCTATCAGCATGCAATAAGCTAAATGGTGAGAGGATTTATACATGGCCCGGGATAGGGGGCAGCAGCCTTCAGCAGTCTGTGTGCAGTGGACTTCCCTCCGACCCGGCGCGATGTTCCAGGCGCTTCGAAGCCCACACATCATCACCATCTGACCACTATCCATAATTAGCTCGTTGACACGGGCAACAAGCACAATCTGCGCTGCACAGCTGCTGAGCTCTGTGTTAGTACAATCCCAAAAGGTCCCAGAAACACAAATTAAAAGAATTTGTTTGTCGGTATTGGTTAACGTTGGCATCCTGAACCTCCTGACTACTTGATTGACGGGGTGCTGCCCTGACAGCTTGGTTAAAATCAAATACCTGAACGTGGTTTTGTTTGACTTTGAAAGAGAAAAATAGCCAGGGAGAGAAAACAAAAGCGGAAAGGTACAATTTGGGACTGTCTTTGCTCTATTGCAGCGTTTATTTTGGGTGGAATCTGGGCCGTTTGGGCCCCGGTGGTGGTAGAAGTGGGCTCAGAGCCGGTGCCGGGAGTCATGGCTGTAGCTGCCCGGTGAACTGCGATTGCGATGTGGCTTGTATGCATCCTGATAGGGGTCCTGGTAGTCCTGGTAGGGGTCCTGCTGCTCTCGGCTATGCTGCGAGCCAGAAGACATGCGGTTGCGTCCCTTATGCGCCCGCTCGTTGTGGTAGTTCTCGTCCGATGTCATCAGGTTGCGCCGTTCGTTCGGGGTGGAATGGTCTCCTGTGTGGTTGCTCTGTCGCATTCTTTGGCTCTGCTAATCACACAAACACACCGAGGACCACGGCTGTTAGAAAGTAAAGGCAGAACTACACCAGCTTTTCTCACCATGTTTGGAAAATGCTGCTTTTATTTTCCCAGAAACTTAACCTAACATGACAAACAGCAAAGCCTGAAACATCATCAGCACTTTTTGTTATTCTGAAATGACTGTGTGGGAGAAAAACTAAAAAGAATGTGTCAGTGTAAAAACAACACACAGGCTGCTCAAGTAACAGCTCAGTTTACTGTGGCCTCATCTTTTTTGATTGGGACACAGATTGGTCTTGCAGTGGGATTTTGCTGCATTGCTGATGATGCAGCGAGGAAAGGAAGGATTACTGTGACAAGAACCCTCCAGAGTATGAAACCAGAAATGGACGATAGAATAATGCAGAACGTATTCCTCAAAAAATACCAAAGATAATGAGCGCACTTCCCAGAAGAGTGAGTCACTCCTTTCAGAATACAACTTGATTACTCCTCAGTTCTTCCTGGTTCTTGACAGTCACTGACGCTGACTTGGCCTGAGCTGTAGTCTCAAGGTCAACCGGTTGGTGGATGTAATCTCATCCAACCAATTTCTGATTTGTTGGACAATCGCCGTCTTACTTTCATAAGAGAAGCGCTACATCCACAGCCTTCCAGGATTAGTCTATTATGTTTGGCAGCAGGAGGAAAAGACCACCAGCAAACACCCCTGTGCTTTTACAATTTTGAATTCACCCAAGCAGCTGGAGACTGCCAGGTCTAGTTGACGTCACATCAAAGAAGTCATCGAGTGGTTGCATTTAGTTCAAACAGATGGCCAGAAAGTCGAGTGTAAACTTTGCAGACACAGGTATGCATGTGACAGCTCAAAAATAATAACAATAAGTAGATTAACTTGTCTGGATTATAGTCCTATGATTTTATAAATAAAGTCACCTATAGGAAAGTTTTGCTACTTGGCAGCCATCTTGGTACAGGTAGTTAGTTTTTTAAGGCTTTTAATGCATCTAAACAAAAAAAGCAAAAATAATAGCCCCACCCTGTGTTTGCAAAGTGGTACAGTGTTTATTTGCTTGTGCCTTCTATTATTATTATTATTATTATTATTATTTATTGACATAGTATTTTTATATTTTTCTTTTACATGTAATATTTTATTTTGAATTTTTTTAGATTTACATTTAGGTTTCATTCATCAAATTCCTTTCATGTGCAAGCTCACGAGACAATAAAAGCTTTCTCTATTATTCTGATCACTCACCATCATCTGAGGGCTTTTTTGTTGTTGTTTTGGGTAATTCATTACATAATATGCAGATAATGTAGGCTGAGACAACATCAAGCTACTGTTTCATTAAAGCTGGCAAATAAATGTCAAAAGAAATGCAATGTTTCTCTCCATTGCACCAATATACATGCATAAAGCAACAGAAGGATTGCCTCTGTGAAAATCAAATGTACTGTTGAGTCAGAGAAGAGGAGAATGTGTACAAATGAGTGTTACTCTCCTGGGTTTCTCTCTTACCATTAATATCTCCCCACACACACAGTAGCCAGCTCTACAAATAAACAGTAAATCTACTAAAATATTCCCATAAAGGAACCTGAGCTGAGTGGATGTACCTGCAGTCCAGAGATGCTGGTGGGGTAGGGGGTGAGCGTGGTGGGGCCCAGGTTGCGTCCCAGCAGGGGGTTTAGAGGGGTCGCCATCGAGGTATGGGTTGCTTTCCAGTAGGCCTCGAGGTATTCGGCGAGATGCTCGCAGGCGTCCTCCAGCTGGTTCTCATCCAGGATGATGTCAAACATTTCCTGTTGGCGGCAGATGGTCGGAGGAAGGCAAGTAAGAGAAGACGTCCACTCTGACGGTGTATGTGTGGCGTGCTGTGTTACTATCTACTGTATAAAGCATGATAGCAGCGTTGTTGGTGATTATAGAAAAGCTAAAATTAATAAAATGTAGTGAAACGAGGAACTTAAATTATAATATAATTGGCTGCATTACATTTTAAATCAAAAACTGTGGATAAAGATATCCCGTTTTTCACATTTTGGGTTTAAGATCCAAAAATATCTCTGATGTTCATTTAAGCTTGAGATAAAATTTCTTTAGAGTGCACACACATATTTGTGGAATATTTTTTGGACAAAGAAAACAGTAAAAGTTGGAGACAACAAGTGATGTACTGGGACGTGAGGACGACCACTTACAGGAGGACACTGGGCCAATTTGTCTGCTGCCACAAGCTGGACATTCAGGTGTTTGCTCTGGGACTTCCCTCTGGACTTGACTAGCCTCTGGAGAACCTGGATGGCAGAGGAGGAGAGTAGGTGAACCAAACGTATCGCAGCCTCGGGTGCGCTTGTTTTAGGTCACCTGGTTTTAGTATGTAGAGATTTAATAGTGCCAGTCATTGACATGGTGAATGCTCATAATGCTTTTGAGAGAAAAAAAAACAAAACTCCTCACTTGTGTATTTTTTTTCAGATTAAAACAAGTAAATGCTTTCTGGTTTTGTTGTGGACTAGTCTGACCAGAGCTGAAGCTACAGCTGAGGGCAGTGACTTCATAGTTTGAGGGAGTTTTTGCAGTGTTTACATTTAATAAATAAAAATGACACATGGTAGGTCATTAATTGATTCCAGTGTATACCTAATATATTCATATCTGGTCACTTTTAAGCCACACTGAGAGCAGAAATAACCATGAAGTGAATGCAGGGCTGTAGTGTCCAGGTCGACTGGTTAATTGGTTGGTCAGTACGCTTTCATCTGACCAAATGTTAATTTGTCTGACAATCGTAGATGATACTTTCATATGCAGAAAGACACTACATCAATAGCTTTCCAGGATTAACTCATTGGTTTTTGTTGAAGGAAAAACAGACTACGAGTTAACACAACTTTGAAGTGGCCCAACATAATGAAGGCTGCTAGGTTGAACTTATTGGAGTTGGAGTTAAACTGTGTGGTCAACTATTAGAGAATAAACTTTGCAAAAAGCTTTTTTTTCAGTGACAGTAGTCTAATTTGTCTGCGCTACAGTCCTCAATACTTTGTGCTGCAATGACCAGCTGATAACTTAAAATCTGGTCTGCTCTGAGTCTGTTCTTATCATTTCAGTATTAAGCAATGAAGTTAAAATGATTTAAAATGCTTAAAATAGTAGCTTTGCATGTTTATTTATAATTTATTTATGCCTATGAGGCCAACAGTTGGAGTGCATCTCAAGGTAAGGTCTTTTTGCCCACAAATAATCAATCAACAATCAATTCTCTTTGGTTAACTACAGCCCTAAAAATACAAACAATCAGCAATTGCGAACCTGACCTGGTCAAAATGAAACTGCTGCTTCCTGATTTCTTCATACAGTTTTCCCATTACTGGTCAGAAAAGCAGGCATTCTGCATGCTCGGACAGTGTGGTGCAAATCACGTGCAAGCTTCACCTGACTGCGATGTGACCATTCTCAAAGGAGTGACCTGTTTCAATCGCAAAGCTGACAACACTTTGCAAGAGAAGTGTTAATGCTCTGGGAGACTCTCCAGAGTGAACATGTCAGTTTGATTAACCCCTCAGACACGGACAACCGATCACTGCTGTGGAGGTGCAGCAGACGAACTCTTCCATGCAAAGGTGCCGAGGTGCAGATTACTCGAGTACTGACTCCACTACACACTGATCAGAAAGCCTTGCATGTTAATCAGAGGCTTTTTAGTAGTTCATGCTGGTTTTGAGGTAACACTGTGCACCTGTGGAGGGGAAACATCAACTGTTACCTTTTAAATGTTTAGGTGCTCTTGTTGTTTGCCTCCAACTGAAATGACTCTGTTGAAAAGTAGCTGATTATATTATCTGCTTAACTTTGCTGTTTTGTCCAGGCTGGAAATGAGGATTATTAGTCTGTGTGATGGTCCACGCTGGGAGTACCTTCGGCGAAGAGACTTTAACGTGGACGATAATCGGGGCCAGGGAGGTCTTGAGGAGCTGGGCCGGGTGGTTGATGGTGTCGGCGTCGAGCACCACCAACTGCAGGGATCGCGCCAACTCAAAGATCCTCTCGATCTCACTTTGCACCTCAGCTGGTGTGGGAAAAAAACACAATTCAAATACAAAATAATACACATTAGGCAGTTGCGTAGTGTTTCCTAAACAGTCTTGCTTACAAGGAAGCTAAAACCATTTTTGTCTAATACTCAGTTGGTTGATTTCGCTTCTTTAGTTCATCGTGCACATACAAAACATGTTAATATAGAGTTTTCTCACCTAAACTGGAGCGAGTGTTGGATCTTTCAATTATGGCTCTCTTACTGGGGTTGTTGAGAACAGACCTCTTGGCCAAAGATATATCTGCTGTAACTCGTGTTATAGATATCCTGTTAAAAACCAAAAAACAACATATCATCCTTGTGCAAAGAACTTCACCAGCATTTATTGAAATATTGGAGCAGATTACAGATTGATGGTGTCCAATATGTGACAAGTAATCAAACACTGGCATAATGAACTAAATGACACCTTACCTGCCATCAAATCTGTGCTTGAGGAAGTCGAATAGTGCTTTCTGCATCATGTCTGTTACCTGCACAGAAAAGGCAAAATGTTGGCAGACATGGTTAGTTTTTAACATGTTGCTGTTATTTCTGTGGTTTTTGTGGATACTGGGTTTTTCCGTGACTAATTTTATTGCTCTCTCTCACTGAGACTTTCCTCGTGACAAATAAGTTCAATAAATCATAAAGTTTTGGTATTGTATGTATGCTCTCTGTGCAGTTTACTTCTTTGGCCCGTGATTCCCCCAAACAGCTGAACTATGTTGTTCGATTGAAAGCTCATAATGAGAATATGGTGGGGAATAGTGGTGGAACTGACTGTAAGAGGCTGATAATCTGTCCACAGCATTTTCCCTGCCTCCTGCCCAGTGCAAGCTGGGATTGGCTCCAGCTCCCCCCCCCCATGATCCTCAATATGAATAAGCCGCCGTCCATCAGGCAAATCCAGAAAAAAAAAAAAAACAAGACAGATGGCATTTCTTCTGCTGCTAAAAGAACATAATGATGTCTGAGCAGGATGGATGTGACATTGTCAATTCAAAGAGTGATCATGTGACCAACTGGGGTACACAGTGATGTAATGCATGTACTTCAACTATTTTTATAGATAGTATTTTTTAGATTTTGCTACTATAAGATCAATAATTAGTATTATTTGGGGGCATTTTTGTCTTTATTAGACAATTAGGAGTGAAGAGGCAGATAGGAAACATGGGGTAAGAAACAAAGGCTGCGCTTTAGCCGTGTGGCTACTGAGATTCTGTTGTCATTTTTAACTTTATTGCTCCACTAATACTTTGTTTTTTACAAATATATTAACAGAAGATACATTCCTAAAATTTAAGGGGTCCCTTGTAGTGATGAACCCACAGAGAACTTTCCCTTAAATATGCATTTCTTCCAGCTTTTTAGGCATTTTTCGCTCATTGTTTTTTTTTTTTTTGCAGCATGTATCTTTATTGATTTTGTTCTTTCTTAACTTTCATGGGATGTTTCCAGCAGCATGCAGTGAAAAATTGGCTGTACACTCGTCTACACTTCCAGCACCAACAGTCAACACACAGTTAGCTTCCTGCAGGTGAACACAGCGGAGAATTTAGCACCTAAAGAGCCTAATAAGTGACATACCTCATCAAGTGTGTGCTTCAAGACGATGATAGTTTTCTGTGTCGTCCTCGTACACTTACACACAGTAATGAAAGCAATAAGGTAATTAAAAGGTCTCTTTACAGGAAAGCCAAAATCTGCCAATTACTCAACATATTTTCATCTGACCTCTTCCGTCTCCTCGTTAGTCTGGCTGCAATTTGGATGTTACGTGGGCGGTGACACACTCATAATAACTGCGCCAACAGCGAGCTATTTTTGGGGGGACTCAGGGAAAGATGTACAAGACTCATCTGCTTTGTGCATTCTTGTCCTTTTTGCACTGGTAACATTCGGTGCTATTCACGGCTTTTAATCACTGAGGAAAGCGGAGACGTGTGAGCGGATTCTCGATTCAACCACAAGGACACGCGGCTCACCTCGTATCCCTTGAGCGAGGGTCCCACCAGCACTACCGGCCTCATGGAGGGAACCACGTCATACGGGGGGATGTGCTCCGTCTGTACACACAAAGAGGCAGCGGCAGACTCGTCACACACGAAGAAAAAGACACACAATAACTCCACAAGAAAACACAGGTCAACATAAAGCCAAGCTGACGGCTGTAATGGGCTGTAAAATCAGCAGAGCTTAGAATCACGTGTGTTGAATGGAAGGTTGGTATTCTGCCATGTGGATGTAGCAAATGATACGTTAACTTGTCCAAATGCAATAAATAAAGAAAAGAAAATGCTTAAAAACAGCTTGACTGATGTTGTTCCTAAAATACATGACCATACGTATAAGTTAACACATCTTATGACAAGTGAATGTTATTTTAGATTCGTCAGATTTAGCTCCAAAACGTGGTTATTGCATTTTGACCAACTAACAAATGTTGTATCATTTGCTACACAGATGGATGGATATGACACAGATTTTTAGGAAGATAGTCACAAAACTACAACTAACCCAGTTTCACAATAAGAAGTAGCACCACCACGACACACAACTATGCCAAAGTGGAAACACTAGAGATCATGTAGTCATGTGAACCCATTCATTTAAAGATGCAAAGCTGACAAGCACAATGGAAACTCTGAATACATTATACTTTAATAGCAAATAGCACTAACTTTCTGTTTCTTTATTGTGTGCAGACAGGTCAAATTAATTAATCATTTTATAGAAAAATAGTGCTGAAAAATAGAATATAAAGAAGGCCATAACAGCAGAGAACTACTGTGTACTTACTGTATTTCCAGTATTTTTTGTGTGATTTCAAAACATCGCTGTGAAGTATTTTTCTGTTATTTACAACATTCTGATAAAAGTTTAAGTGATTAGATAAACTATAGCATCAGTCTTGGAAATAGCAGTTTAAAGGACTGTCAACTGCACCTCGTAGTCGTTTTTTTTCGTCAATGCAGTTTGCGTAGTTGTCATGAGACACAAACAGTCTACTCAGTAAACTGGGTATCTGCAGGACAACTACATCCACTGAGGAAGACTGAGATGCAGCTAAAAAGTTCTGGAGACGGCTTCTAAGTCAACCTTAATATACTGCATTCTCCAGCTGTATAATGCTGATTATTTTTTTCTAATATCAGGCGTAAATTTCGTATCTGAATTCGTTGAATATAAAAAAAACGACGGTCTTGGAAATACACAATTTGAGATGATGTTCTAATACAAGAGAATTTAAACTACATAAACTCAGATTGATGACTGTCAAAGTAAAACAAGCTTTCTATTTCAAGTTTAACATTCAATAGTGGTTAAATTTTGCCAATAAAATTCACACATTATCAACTATTTCCTTGGTTTACTTCTAGTCATCTATCTTTGTAAGTATAGAAAATGACATTAGGTTTAGATATTGAATCCTCACTTTATTTTAATAATTTTCTCCTTCTCACCTTTGCTTTGTTTTAAATAAGACATCCCTTTGCTGCCCTGATTTATTAAAATGACCTTTTCATGACATGCATTTTAGTCCGTGCAAACTCAAAAACTTTAATTAGTTCAGTATAAAAACAGAAAACAGGTTATTTTCTGTTCAAAGTTTGTTCAATTATAGTTTTCCCTTTTTAGCTTTTATTGAAAAAGAATCTGGTATGTGGGAATAATAAGTGAGCTTTAGTGGTTTTCTCTTTGTCAGGTTAGCTGGTTCTCTTCTTTTTTGCTAAGACAAGCTAACTGGCTTCAAAATTAGCATAAAGAGACAAAAATGTGTGATTTTTTCTCTACCTTTTGGCAAGAACTTTTATTTTCCCAAAACAATTCATCTAGTTTAATAAATGTATAAAATCAATCAATTGGGAATAAGTTGCCGTTGGGGCACTGCAGTACTTTGGCATCACAGGAATGGTGACGTTCTGACTGTGTATACTTCAGCAGGGCCGAAGCATTCCATGACGTGAGCCTCTAACTCCCTGTCAGCGCTACTAGTTCCTGTCACTTCATGATGGCAGCAGCAAGAGTCGGGCGGATGGTGAATGAGTGGGTTTTACCGTCAACCAACTTACCACTTTCTGTTTCTGCTTTCCTGTAGGAGGGGAGAGAAGACAGTGACAGTGTCGTCAGTAGCTGCTGCCACGGGGAGGCGTCACTAGAATATCTCAGAAAACATGCTTCTTCACATAACGTGTCATCACAGTTCATAACAAATGAAACCTATCAAGGATAACTGGCATGATATAATATGAACAAAAAAACAAAAAAAAACAAATTGCTATTGTCCTAAGGTTATATTCACAAAGTCACATGAGTGCACTTCAGAGGGGGGGTCATAGTCTTGTCGTTGGGTTCACACTGTGGTAAGCCCCAGTCTCAGAGCGCCTGCAGTCCTCAACTGGAGGAAGAGGAGGATCATGGGAAAATGTACCAACAACTCTACGCAGTGAACTTATGCTCTATGCAGAGACATGGGAAGGCTTTAGAGTCTTATCCTCTCTACTGTTGCTGTGGCTCAGGAAGCTCGGCTCTAACTCGGCAGCTGGCTACTAACAGCCCTCTCCCCCCGTCCGATGTTCTCACCTGCCGAAGAAATGAGCGGACGGATAGAGGCAGATACCTCATCCTCTACACTGGAAGAAGAGTTCCCTCCAGACTTACTGAAAGAGACAAGAAGGGATAAAGAAAGACAGAGAAACACCACGGCATTAATGCAGAAAAACAACAACGAGTAAAGTGCTAAGAGTTAAAATGGTCATTTGCTGCAGAGGAGAGGAGCAGAAGAGGATCAAAGGAGGATCAAATCTGCAAAATCTTAACACTGGAATTTTGGGGTTAATAGGTAGTCTATTGATGCCATAAGTCTTTGTTATAGTTATAATTACAGTAACGCTGACTAAATATCAACAGATTCAAAGTTAGTCTTCTATTAGCTTGTTATGATTTTATTCACAATTACTCCCCGACCCCATATCACCATCTAAACTACACAACTATTTATGAACAGCCTGAAAATTCGGGACTAGCTTCTAACTCTAAGTCGACCAACGACTCAACTAACGAGGAGTGTTGCTCAGTCTGAGCCGAGTGCATGAATGAAAAGTAGTCGTCATCAATGAACCCACGATACTACGCTTCACCATGGCAACGGGGTAAACACGAAGCACAGCCTCCATTTTAATCCTCTGGAGGTAGAAGTATTAATGTGTGACAGTGGACATTTATCTTTCAGCAGCAGCGGCAGGGACAGAGCCTGAGTTGGAGTGGAGAAAGCAGGTTAACACCTTTTTATTCAATGTATGGTCCACTCATTCATCATTTGGCAGACTTACTCATATATACTCACTTGTATATCTATATTTAAATGTGTTTATGTAGCTGCATCTAGAATTAAACTTGGCTCAGTGCTGAAGTGAAGTCTGTTTGTGAAACTCAAGTCACTGGTCTTTCACATCCAGAAGTTAGAAGCATCCAAATTTTATCAGAATTTAATTGGAATTATGTAAAATTTTGGACAACAATGGAGGGCAGCTGAGCTCTCAAGAATAACATGGACAAAAAATAATAATAATAATAATATTATTGATCAAAATATATCAACAGATGAGGCAGAAGACGAGGGATACGCATCTTAACTGTCAGAAAATCTTGTACATTTGCTGGTTGAGCCTCTTACTGTTTAGCAAGATGGAGTTACAGGTGTGTTTGCTGATCGCCCGTAAAGGTGGTGGCCATGGTGGTGAACTCTGCAACACCGAGTGGTAAAAAATGTGCCTTGTTGGGTCTGGTTTGGCTAGTGAAGGCTCAACTGTAACGCTAAGCTAAGGTTTTCAAACACCAACTGACTCTGTATTAGAGCTGTTGCTGCTAATACTGCTCAGGAGAAGCAGGAATCTGAACATATGCTTCCAACAACATTAAAACTACAGTGATGGAGGGCATCGACGGCTAAATTAATAAATGCCACTTACACTGTTGTAAATACTGTCTGCTGTAAAAACTGTAGTGTGTACTGTAAATACCTCCTTTGCTTTAATATTTTATACTTTATATCTATATTTTTATCTTTTCTTTCACGTTAATTTTTTTACTTGTGTATTGCAGCCACAAAAGGATGCTACAATATTTCAGTGCTCTTTTTAACATTGCTTCCACAGTGACAATAAAGAAATATTCTACTATGCCAATTGTATATAAATGATAAATAAATATAGTAATACATTTAAGAGGTGGCAACAAATTCTAACAGATTTTCAGAATTGGATGACGTCTCGCCCTATGCAGTGCTATCAATCTATCTATCTATCTATCTATCTATCTATCTATCTATCTATCTATCTATCTATCTATCTATCTATCTATCTATCTATCTATTAAATTTTTATTTCCTTGCACTTTTACACAATTTCTTTGCGGCTACCACCGTAGGAAGTAGGTAGTAGAATTTACACGATTAAACTTATTTCACATTTAAAACAATACAGGAGAATTTTACACCTAAAAGACCATTTCTATCGTCTCCCGTAGTGCTACTCTTTTACATTTACAGTGACAGCGTTGTCCCGGTTAATGGGCTTGTCTCTCCCTGTCTGCCATACTGGGCGACAAAAAGCCACAGAAGCCATCCTAGTAAGTGAAGCGCTGCAGTCTGGTAAGATTAGTATTAAACTCAGCAGCACGGCTTGAGGAAGTGCATGTGAGTTACTGTACAAACTCTGGATGACAGAATATTCAAGACACATTACGCACACACACACACACAAGGAAACACACACACAGAAGCTAATTACAGCTATTGAAAGCGTTTGACTGGTACAGTCAGCGTGAGTAGAAGGGATGGAGTAAATAGGCATGAGTCATGGGCAGACCTGGGTCAAGGTAGACTTGGAAATAAATCACAGGAAGACACTGATATAACCACAGAGGTTAACAGAGGAGTTAATGGACAGAATCTATCCCATCAGATGAGATCACCTTTGTAGCTATGTCAGTCTAACCCAGGTCTGCTCAGGGGGGATGTGTTAGACCAAAATATTCAAAGACGAGAAGCTGGTAAATGAAGATATTACAGGTTTAAAGCAGAAGCTGACAACTTGTCTATGGATGGAAGCATTTTTTCACAATATGTCACAGCTCCATAAACCCAAATACCCACTGCAGAACTCCACCTTTAGCTTTAAAGGCCAAAAAATAAAAATAAAAAACATTACTCTTCGAATCTTCTAATTAACAATTATACAGCTATGATTTTTTTGTCAACTGAAGAATTATTTTCTCTAAAAAAAAGAAAAAAAAAAGCCCATTGTAATGTTGAACTTCTTCAACTGTTTCGCTACGAATCAAAACAATCCCAACACATCCAGTTTGCTGTCAAACTAACAAAAGCAACTAGTCTTTCCACTGTAGAAGCAGCAAATGTTTGCCTGTCTGCCTGCAAAATTACTAAAATTAACAAGAAAATATCAAAACAATTGTTCCATTGATAGCGTTTCTACTAGCTCCAAATTGTTTTGAGTTTAACGATGACTCCACACATCCTGAAATAGAATTCGTAAGCCTGGCAGTCTAATAATTATCAAGTAATTTGTTTTTAAATGCTGCACCAAGCAGAATATATGTGTATATCCTCTCGTGGTCTTAGTGTGTCCATTTGTAGCAACAGCCCTGAATAAAAGCTACCAAACGCTGATATATGAGACTATTTTCTGGTCAAAGTCAACCTAATACCTACAGTTGCTTGGCTTTGTTTTGCTGGTTGTTACTTTCAGCATGGAGACAAAAATAAAAGGAAATAAAAGCAATGATCTGATGATATCTTTGACCAACTATGATCCTGTGTTCATAGCTACTGTAAAGCTAAGGGCTCCCCCAAGTAATCAAACAAAAAATGTCCATTGACCAAGAACTAGAGTACGTCAGGTAAATACTGTGCATCTCATCCTTTTGATTGATTTTTAATAATTTGTTGTTCAGCCCATATAAAACCGCCTCTAGCAGTAATTTCAGATTAGCTTTTATGCGGCCGTATGAGGTTCAGTTTACGAGACGAGCGTGTTTTTCTGCTACTTACCCTTGGACTCGTCCTCTCTTTTGCTCCTGCTGGAGTCGAATGTTCTCGAGCTTCAGAGGGCTGGGGATGAAGCCGATCTCACAGCCCTCCTTCACTAACCGACCGATCCACCAGTCATTGTTGAACTTCTACAGACGCGAACATAAAAACGAGGAGAGGAAAATGGAAATCTTTCCATCAGTTATGGACTAAATATTAAGCTCATGCTTCCAAATCTAATTCAAACAGTAGCAGTCATGATGCTATGAAACCACACATGTACCTCTTTTATGTGGAGGAAGTCCTTGGCGTCGAAGGAGATGGCTGTGGCTGGTACTGGAACATCCTCATCCAAAGCGCCACAGTAGCTGACATTGGTCCTTACAGCAAATGCCACTGGTTTAGTCTGGAGGATGGAAACACAAAGTTAGACATTATATGTGATAAAAAATGCTGTGTGACAAGTTTCAGGTTGAAAGGCTGTTATTTCCAGAAACAAACAACGAGGTTCGGTCGGTGTGTTCGTCTACCTTGGCTCTCTCCAGTTGAATGGCGGCCTGCTGCTCCCTCTCCTGACGGCTCTGTCCCGGTCCTTGGCTCTGGCTTGGGCTCTGGCTCTGGACCTGGGCCTGCACCTCCCGCTCCTCCTCCAGAGAGACATCTGAGTCTGATGGTCTGCTAGTATACGAATCAGCTGAGCCCTACAAACAGAAATCGCGCTATAGGTTACTGAAAGTGTGTGAGTCAGGAGTGTTTGGTCAGTAGCCACGTCGGAGAGAACGGGAAAACATTGCAACCAGCACTACAGCGCTTTATAAGTCACCTAAAAATAGCTTTTCATTTAGAGGAACAGCAAGCAGGCACAGTGCTGCAAATGCATGATCACAAAAAACCACTTCTAATAGGGCCAATCTAACATCAAGGACTTTACGAAAAAGTTTGGACAGATGCACCCGAATGACCTAAATAGTCTCTGAAAAGACAAAAAAAGCACAAAGGGGACACACAAAACAAGGACGTGCTGCAGATTTACCCCCAAAGCATCTGAACTGCTGAGCGCAATAAGGTTAAACAACTCTTTTTACTGAAGTTTTTGCTGTTTACATCAACTCGCAATCAGAGTGCCAAGTCCGGAGTGGTGGCTTGGCACTCCGAATGCAGAACAGGTGAAATGGATGATAAAGAAACGAGCAGACTGCCAGGAGCATCTCAGACAAAGTGGAATTTCTATTTCTTTGCAGTCAGCAGTTTGTATGACCACAGTATATATACACTCTCCGGACAGCGACGAATATGATCCCAGAAAGAAAAAGACGCATTTCTGCTTCTTGGGGGGTTCACTTTTTCCTCGACTTGTTTGAGCAAATCAGCCCCCACAAGCCACGACAGTGACTCACAATAAACAGCACATTTAGAGAGGTTGCTTTGAATATGAGGAGAGATTCAAGAGCGGGGCATCACCGGTGTCCTGGTTTATCGTGGTCATATGGAAGAAGTTAGCTTTGCCTGATAAAAGTATGACACTAGTCAAGATGCGTCAGGATTATGGGCGAGTAAGTCAAACGTAAAGGACACTGAGTCAGAATTACAACATAGCAAGACAGGAAATAGTAAAGCAAACTCCTGAGATGCGTCTTTTTTGGCAGAAATGGGCTTCCATAGATAATCTCTAAAGGTTAAACATTTTATATGTAAATACAAAAGCCTACATCTCCTCCTGAAAGCTGCTGCCAAAAGACAAATATTGTGAATTATGTTTGAAGGTTACTAACACCATGTTAACTAAAATGAATCAAGATATGTTATTAGTATATTTCAGAACTAAATAAAGTAACGAGAAACAACACAATATCAAGTAAGACAAACTACAGACTATAAAAAAAATGTGTAAAAATCAATATGTTTACATGAGCAAACATTACAGAAGCAGGAGTAACGTTACTAAATATGGATAAATATGTAAAATATCTGATATTATGCAAATATTCCTACTTGGGACACTTGATCGTCTCACAAAAGATTATTAAGAAGAACCACTAAGAACATCTACGTCCAACAAAACCTACAAGGTAATTACATTATTGATTTATACACTTGATTTTAATCATTCATTTGCACATCCTCTCATTAAGCTTAAACACATGAGCTTACAGCAGCACAAACACAAATTCTGACTTTTGCTTGTTGTCTTGTGATCCGTGATTTATTTATTTTTTTACCACTTTAGACGTGCTAGCCTTGCACGAGCTCCTCCTGTAAGAATTCGGTTAATGTGACTTTTTTTTTAACTGGACCAAGCGCTTCCTTCTGCTGCTAAACAATCAGCCGCTAATGATGCTTCAATTAAGGAAGACCATTAGCCCCGAGAAGATCAATCAAGTTCGTCATCACAGCTAAGCACTTTTTTTTTTACAAGCTAGCAGCAGCAGCAGCAGCAGCAGCAGCAGCAAGGCCTGACTTCAGCAGTGCAGCCCATCCCCAAGACTTTGTAGGATTTCTAAGAATGAGCAGATTACAGAAGAATAAACACCCCAACAAGGGGGAAAAAAAAAACAAACTGATTCTGTTGGTGGTTTCTTCAGCTGTACTAAAGGGCTCGTCCCTTCATTTAACACGTGTTTGAGTCGTGAGTACTACTCGGCCTGTGAGAACATAATGTCTTCTGTGGCTCTGGTGAAGCTTTGTCAGGTCTGGGAGAGGAGAGGAGAAAAAAAAAAAAAAAAAAAAAGCCTTGTTGATGTCATATTGTCGTCATCAGGGTTATCTTGGTTTGAGCTTGGAGACTGCAAATTTAGCACAAGAAGAAGTTGGGGCTTTAAAGTGAGGGTGTGGAGTTTGAAAGACGGATGGGGAAGGTCTAACGAGGGACGCTGCTAAGTTGCGTTATGAGGATCCAGAGCTTTTGGGGGGGGGTTTAGATACAGAGGAGAGGTTTTGAAAACACTATTTATAAAAGTGCACATTTCCCCAACACCATTTTGCCCTCAATTTTCCCAAAACCCGAGCATCATCTCTCTCGTGCATCAGCGCGGAGGGTGCACTGTAGCATCCGAGCTATTATCCAATGGAGTAGCTTCGGCATGTGACTCATCAACATCAGAATCCACTTAATGACATCACGATGCATGTTTCTGCGAGCCTCGTCAGAACCACGTAGCTGCAGATTAGAAATGCTCAGCTGCATGGTGTTTTTTTTGCTGTGAATTTGACACGAGAGGATTTCAGCGAGGGCCTTAGGAGGGGGGGAATCAACATTTTTTTTCCCCCCCGTCTTTGAATCATCTTTTAGGAAGGTACAGAGTGGCGTTAAATGGCTCCTCCTGGCTCTGGTGGTTTCCTACGTTCTTACAGATTGCAGCCACACATACAGCGCCGACACATGCGGAGAAATCATACAGAAATGTCACACATCGGAAGCCATCTGCCTAATGCGCGCCCCCTCCTTCGTACACACAGCGACACCTACCCACTCACCCAACCCCCTTTTCAGGCGAGCATAGCCCACGATCACGCTACACTGTGCCGTTTGGCTAACCCACCAAAAGGCCTCCTGTGTATGCGTGTGTGTGTGTGCTGCTTCCATCAATAAACACACAGCAGGAGAAAACAGATTCATCCGAACACTCACCGCCTCCGAGTCTTCAAATCCATGCAGGTACAAATTGTCATACATGGAGGTTTGATATTCCAACGAGCTCCTCTAGAAGAATGAGGGGGAAAAAATGAGAGTGGAGGCGGAGGAGGAAGGAGGGGGCACTAGAGAGAGAGAGAGAGAGAGAGAGAGAGGGAAAAAAAAAAAGGATGGATAGGGGGATGACGACAATCCCTTCTCTCCACAGCAGAGAAGAATAATTTAAAAAAATATCTCCCCTCCCGTTGGATCACGCCTGGTCCTTTCGGAGGCCCGTCGCTTGATGGATGCAGCTTCTCCCTGATCCCCGAGTGCTGCTGGCTGGCTCACATTATAGGATGGAGAGGCTCTCCCTGGAGGTAGCCCAATCCTGGCATTTCATTTCATCAGGCTTCCACGCACACACACACACACACACACACAGACACACACATATACATATACACAGCGAGAGCAGCAGAGGCAGCAGCAGCAGCAGCAGCAGCAGCAGCAGCAGCAGAGCAATATCCAAGCCTGATGACAGAGCCAATGTGCAAGGAGCTGATTGGCTGGCTGGCTGTCCACTCATCTTGGATGAGCGCTCTCCTTGATTTTTTTTTTTTTTTTCTAGTGCGGGGAGGCAGCAGGGATCGGGGGAGGGGGATGGAGGAGTAAAAGAGGGGAGCAGCAGCATCCTCCATTTCCCTGCTACCTCTCGTCCTGCTTATTTATTCTCCGGCGAGCGCAGAAAAATAAATTAAATCTAATAACGCGATGAATACGTTCGTATTCCATCCGTGTGTTGAAAGCAGCGGCTGTTTATTTCCTCCTGAGAATCATATCGAGAGCGACACATCCATCCGTGCGGTCCCTATACCTGAACGTTGTATTTGTTCAAAAATGGTTAAAATAATTACTGAGAGCACAGTAATGTTTGTGTTTTAGGGGTATTTAACTAAACATGGCACTAGAAATGCTGTCGTCATGAGTCCCAAAGCACCCCACCTACGTTCTTTTATTCTTTTATTTAATTGCTCAGTTAAAATTTTTTTATTGTAAGTTATGTTTCCCAACACAAATGGATAAATGCCATATTAAAGTCCTCTCCACAAAAAATACTGAATTCTTTGTAGTGCTTAATGTCTATGGTTGATCATTTGATTGGTCGATCAATCAACTCACTGGACCTCCAAGTATGTGGCAGTTTCTGCTCCTGTCATATCTCTACTCATGCTGCAATATAAAGTCCTGCACCTCTATGGAAACATCACAACCACAGCTAGAAGCTGAGAAAATAGAATTAAAACAACGCAATCAATCATTTCTCAGATGTTATCAATAGTGGGGGAAAATGGTGATAGAGATATTTGTATACTGATCTCCTACCAGCTCTGTGGTTGCAGCTGAATCAAGGAGTGCACTTTTATTTTTTTCCAACACAATCTAAACGGTTTATTTTTTACCAGACACGTGTAGAATAAAATGATGTGGATGAAATGTCACAATTCTGAGCTTAGATCTGGTGAAGTTTCCCTCACAGGTGAGTAGAGTAGATCTTAATTAAAACTGCCTCGCCTTCGTTTCTGAAGTGTTTGCAGACTTTTTGTATCTGATGAAGTGTCGTTGGGGTTTTAAAATGTTGACTGGACAATACAAGCAATGTTTTTCCTCCAGACAGTTATTGATCAACCAAGAAAACTTCCAACAATTCAACTGATACTAATAAAATGCATGAAATATTGAAATACATCAAGTAAGAGCGTGAAAATCAAATGCTTTATAGTTTTGCTCATTGATGTCTCATCTAAATATTTCCTAAATCAAACCTAAAAACATTTTAACCTCCTTCTTATTAATTAACTAAATCAATACGATCAACTACAATACAGACATTCAGAATGCCTGCTCCCCTGCATATCAAATTCCTGAAACAGCAGCCGGCCACCAGGGAGCGATCGAGACATTTTGGCCTCACATGTTGGGGAGCCGTCATGCCACTCACACCTGCAGCAGCAGCAAGGTGTGTAAAAAAATTTAGCCCAGAGTAGAAGTGTGATACACAACAAAGAGTAGACGCACTAAAGGTGAGTCCCTCGAAATGGATCATCATCACCTGTTTACAGCAAGTGATGTGAAGCAGGAACAAAAAGAGTTCATGAAACTTGTCTCTGTACGTCTAAACAACTGGATTGTTCAACCACCTGCAACAACACAACAAACCAACAACAGCTTCTTGAAATTTCTACAATTAGATTTACATTTTGCTGTAAGAGATGCACCAGGACCAGCCTGATAGTGACTTGTACATGAGCAGGGATGCAGCTACATTTAAAAGTCCAATTAAAACATTTTGTCCCTAAAAGTCAATAAATAGACACGACATGAGATCTAAATATTGATCAGAATAATCAATGTAGCCGTAATCACGCAGCCACTAAATAACTGCTAAACCTTAGACCAACATCAAGCAGCTGGACAAAATAACCACATACCTCCTGTAGCACAACTTAATACCAACAGGCATCGGTTCAAATCATCTGCAAGAGTCTCTTCAAAGTCCTTCTGTAAGTATCTGACAAAACAGGTCAAAAACACAATTCTTCACCTTCACAGACCTATTAATAAAACTTGTTGCTAAGCCTGCAGATACTTCCGCATTACATCTGCCTAGACCTTGAATTTAGACGATAACACACCTTTGTATCATCACACAGTGCTAAGTTTCACATCCCAGATACGTTTTGTCAGACTAGTGGCTGCTGGCAGAGAGACGAAGGCAGAATCTGCAAAATATGACATGAGCCCAACACAACAAAGTCTAAAATCTCATACCTATGATGAATATCTGCAAGTTTTATAATACAAAGGAGCAAATAAAGGCCACTACTGACACATGCATTACTGCTTTGTTTGGTTGTTACTGTCGTTTTGGGTTTTTTTTGCAGTCCAACACATAAGAAGGTACAATCCAATGAGCTTCCATTGAGATGTCTGAATAGCAATAGTGTTGCAAGGAGAATCTAAATTGCACATTTCCATCCATCCATCAATCATCTATACACCGCTTAATCCTCACGAGGGTCACGGGGGGCTGGACTCTATCCCAGCTGACTTAGGGTGAAGGCAGGGGACACCCTGGACAGGTCGCCAGTCTATCACAGGGCTACACTTAGAGACAGACAACCAAGCACACTCACATTCACACCTACGGACAATTTAGAATCACCAATTAACCTCAACATGTTTTTTGACTGTGTGGGAGGAAGCTGGAGAACCCGGAGAGAACCCACGCTGCACGGGGAGAACATGCAGAAAGATCCCGGGTGTCCTCACCGGGACGCGAACCGGCGACCTTCTTGCTGAGAGGCAACGGTGCTAAATTGCACATTTTTCTGATTTAAAAAATAAATGCGTAGATGAAAAATCTTCTAATGCAACATACTGTGAGGATGATATCCATGTTTTACATATTAGAAAAAGAACGCAACCCCCATTGGCAACAAGAAAATCCGCTCACCTAATCTTGTATGGGTCAGCTCTCACCCATCGGGCTGTGGACTTTTCATGTGTCCTGTTGCGTTCATTAAAAGAAGATCATTTAAAAACCTTAGGGATGCTTCCATGAATCCAGCCTGAAGGTATGGAAGTTAGGTCGATGCCAGTGTAACACTTCACTCATCAGTGGTTTTAATGTTGTCCCCTACTGCTGTGCATATGCTTCACTAATGTAGACTGAGGCTCACCTTTCATGGATTAATCACCTTTTGTGTCATTTATATCAACTTGCAGTCTTATTTGTCTGTTATTGGTGCAGTGCATCCTTCTCCTGGCAGCAAATTGCCGCCCCCTACAGGTGACAGCGACCACGTCACCTGCACTGGTGGAAGATGTGGCACAAACAACTACTCCAACATTTTCAGCAGTGGCAAACTTCACAGAGTGCTTGCAATGTTCAGGTATGGAGAGCCCCTTCATTATATTAATAGAAAACACAACTAACATGAAAGTAAAGCCATAAATAAGTAAGTGTTTGAGGTATAACAAGAAGCTCTTTCAGACAGAATTAGGCCACAGTGAGTGATTAATGTCGCACATTTAGGCTCGAATTTATAAAACGTCACCAATATTTAATGAGGTACAGTGTATTTTTAGAAATTCTCCATTTGGAATTAATGCAAATTCGCCTGTCATACTATAAATTTCCCAACCAGTGGCATCTATTTAAGGTTTCCTGGCAGCTCAGTACCTGTCTAAGGATGAAGCTGGTGGAGGTGGTGCTGCCGTCGGACCTCTTCAGGCGGCTCCTCCTGGAATAAGTCCCTCGGTTAACCTGTATGAAAAAAACAAAGTGTTTTATTACGGCTTGGTGCTAACATGATGCAAGGTGACCTCCACGACAGACGTCTGGCTGTTTTTGTGATTGATGCAAACGGCACAAGGAGGTCGAATGACGAGTTTAGAATCAGCTGGAACCACAGCATGACGCATCATAAAACATGAGACATACGTTTCTGCGCCATACATTTATCTACTTACTTTTCTCCTTACCTCCTTTCTTTTTCTCTTCCAAAATATCCAAATATACCAGCAGAGTTCATCTCCAGGGAACCAAATTAATTATCTGCCAGTGATTCGCCCCATTTCTGTTCAAGTCTCCAGAGTTAATGACAATGTCACCGGTAAAAAGTCAGAACCTACTTCCCTGAATTTATAAAAAAAAAAAAAAAACAGGGCCATTAATCTGGGTCATCATCTCTCTTCTGCCTCTCAGCTCACCAAGCGATAGGAGGGATGAAGTTAACCAAGTCGTTGAATACCCCTGCTATTAATGCTCAGTGATCAGTTGAGCGACCAGAATCAACTCAAAAATACAAACAGCCTTTTAAAATAAATGTCTCTGGGGAGAACAGAAGTGGACGACAACAGGAGGAGGGGAGTTTTATACACTATTGTTGGGGGAGTGAAAGTATTTAAGCTGGATGAAACAAGATATGATGAAAGTTAATGGTTCGAACACATGAGGATTAAAGGTTTAGTACAGTAGGTCTTTTAAAACCTTATGTTGTATGTGGAGTAA